TAGAGTGGAATATATATACAGGATGGAGGAACTGTATTATATTGGAGATGATAAAGTTGAAAATTTTAAGAAAATCTGGGAAAGTTGGATGGTTTTTAAAACACTGGGGAGATACTCAGTCCTAGATAGTGACAGAGGAGAGTGGAATGATAAAAAAAAAAATCTCAGGAATAAAATAAGTAGTGACCAAAAGGGGGGGGGGGGGCTGGGATTTATGAAAAGATTTGTTTGAAGTTTATGGTTTTATTGTGTGGAAAATTGTTGTATTTCTAATATTAAAAGCAATAAAAATAAAATGTCAGTGACAGTCAGTCCCCCCCCCAGTGTCAGACTGCCCACCACAGTCCCGCTATAAGTTGCTGACCATTACTAGTATTTAAAAAAAAAAAAAAAAAAAAAATTCCAGTATACATGCTGCCATTTGTAGGTGCTATATCTTTCATGTAAACCAATTAGTTTACATGTATTGGGCTTTATTTATTTATTTTAGCAAAGACATGTAGCAGAATACATTTTGGCCTAAATTTATGATGAAATTAGATTTATTTTTGTCTGGGTATGTTTTACTGCAAAAAGTCAAAAATATTGACTTTTTTTTTTCTTTTTTCCAATTTTATTTTTCAAAGTTGTGTTTTTTTTTGTATATAGCACAAAAAATGAATACCAGAGGCAATCAAATACCACTAAAAGAAAGCTCTATTTGTGGGGGGGAAAAAAGGATGTAAATGTAATTTTGGGTGCAGCTTTGCATGACCTTTCAATTGTCAGTTAAAATAATGCAGCGCCGTATCGCAAAAAAAATGGCCTGGTCATGAGGGGGGGGGGGGGGGGGTAAATCCTCTGGAGGGCAAGTGGTTAATTGAACAAGCTCAAGTTAAAAGCTGATTGGCTACCATGCACAGCTGCATCAGATTTCAGATTTGGCACTCTCCAGTTTTAGTAAATCAACCCTAATTCTCCGTGTTGCAGTACAGGTGGTCCAGTATGTGATATTGACTGCACATGTGTGGATATGAAAAATTTTCCCTAAAATATTGAGTTGCGTATGTTGCACCCCCCAGCCTTTGCAACAATCTAAAGGGGATCTTGGTGCAATTGGGTTTGGGGACTGCTTTTACTAGCAAGTCCCATTGACTTCTGTTGCATCTATGAACAGGTAGTGGCATTGTTTTAAGGTTTGATGTCAATGAATTGTTGGCTATTGAATGTTAAGATTTTGTGTTAATTCCTGTCTTTGTTCAGACTTGCAGTTACGTTTATGTATCAACATTGGTCTATTAGTTGGGAAATTTGGTATGATGGGCTAGTGATCTGACCAAGGCTTGATCAAGGACTGTGGTAGAATGTACACATTCATGACCTTTTTGGCACACCATATCTACATTCCCAATTCCTAAAAAGTTGGGACGCTGTGCAAAATCTATATAAAAACAGAATTCAACAATTTGCAAAAGTCATAAACCCATATTTTATTCATAATCAAAAACATATGTTTAAACTGAGAAAATGTACCATATTAAGAAAAAAAAAATAGGGTAATTTTGAAATTGATTGCGGAGACACATCTCCAAAAAGTTGGGACAGGGCAACAAACAGCTGGCAAAGTACATGTACTAACCAGGAAGAGCTGTAAGAGCATTTTGTAATTTATTGGGTTAATTGTCAACAAGTTAGTAACATGATTGGGTATAGAAAGGGCACCTTAAAGAGGTAGTAAATTCCCACCCTGTAAATGTTGCGTGAGTGCAAAGTCTCACTGGGTGGTGGTAATGCCTTCCAAATGCGAACATGCTATTTCATTTTTTGCCACGAAGCACAATATTGTGCCCACAGCATGTTTATAGCCGCGAGTGGCTACATGGCCATGTATGTGTAAGGTCAAGGATTTATTTATTTCAGGTACTTATATAGCAGCGTCAATTTACGCAGTGCTTTACATATATATTGTACATCCACATCAGTCCCTAACCCTCAAGGGGTGTACAATCTAAGGTCCCTAACTTACATTCATACATGCATACATGGGCCAATTTAGACAGGATCCAATTAACCTACCAGCATGTCTTTGGAGTGTGGGAGGAAACCGGAGTACCTGGAGGAAACCCACGCAGGCACAGGGAGAACATGCAAACTCCAGGCAGGTGGTGCCATGGTTGGGATTCGAACCAGCGACCCAAGTACTGCCAGGCGGAAGTGCTAACCAGTTAGCCACTGTGCTGCCCATGTTGTATTCCTATCGCCTGGCAGGTGTTTGTTTTTTTTTTGTTGTTGTTTTTTTTTTTTTCTCCTCTTTTAGCCCTGCTACGAGCAAGCAGCGGGCTCACCTCCTCAGCAGGAGCTTCTTTTTGGGCAACAAACCCACGTAGGGCAGCCTATTCAAGTGAATGGGCTGCCATTTGCGACACACAAAATCACACGACTATCTCTTGTCAAAATCGCATACTGGGAACGCTACGAGAGTGTGAATGCAGCCTTAAATAAAAAGGTCTATTTTAACCCTTATCAACCCTTAGTTGAATGGATTGAGGGAAGATGGTGTTAATTAGATTTGTTTAATGAAAACTATTATTTTGTTGTGTGGTTTTTTTTTTTTTTTTTTTATTTCTATTTTATGAACCATTTATTATTTTAAAGTGTTTTTTTTTTTTTTATTTGTTCTGTTGTTTTAGAGTCTTTTAAATAGCAAAAAATTGTTAATTGATTTCACTTGTAAATAACTGTGCATGTCCTTGCACCAGAATCATAATTTTAGTGTTCTTTTAAACAGAACAAATTTTGTATTAAAAATGTATTCTTACTCCACAGTAATGTATAGATTAGTTTTACTGTAGAGTGCATTTTTCAGATTTTTACTTTTAAATCTAGGAATCATTTTGTACAAGACAAGGTGTATATTATCACCATAATATTACTGATCTTAAAGCCCAGCTCCTGGCAACTAAAAAAAAATTATCCCTCGCAGTGGGGCTGTGCCTTCACTGCAAGGTCTAATTGCTTGTTTAGCACTAGGGAAGCAAAAAAAAAAAAAAAAAAAGTACAACGTACTTGATCCACTGATCCTCCGCTCCTCACATGTAGACCATTCCCGCAGCCTCTTCTCTCCATTGTCTAGGGACCTGATGTTGCCATAGCCCTGCTTTGGACATGACGCCGAGGGAAAGTCCACTGCCAGAGCATGGAGGAGCAAGGTTATGCTGTTACACAGTTAATATTTATGTTAATGTACATGAGAATTCATATAGTTTATTTTTTGTACCATTTCCTATGGACATTTCTATAGTTAGTTATGCTGCCATCCAGTGGTCTTATTTGGTAATGCATTTGTTTTTCATATTGCCTCCCTGAGATCTATGACACAGTTCCTTTGTATATGAAGCTCCTCCCTTCTTCTTGAGTACAGCACTTCCTGTGTCATGGAGGCAGCTAACAGTCCACATGTAACAGGGACACATGTATTCTGCATAGTACGCTACGGAAAGTATCATCTTTTGACCGCATAATACTGGAAACCATTCATTCTGCTGTATCCTGTTGTCACATGTACAGAATAAAGCAACTTCTGGATGAACACAGTATTGGTGAGTTCAGCTATCTGATAAGGATTGTCCACAGTGATTATATCTGCTTATACAGGCTAGGCAGAGAGGTCTCACAAGGGATAAATTGCTATCACAACAATCTGAGTCAGAATAAAGGTAGTGGGAGATCAGGTAAGTAAAACTGTTTCCCCTCTCCCCTTGACAAAACAAGCTATTAACCCTTGCAGTGTGAGCTTAGCCATAGATTGTAATTTTATTTCCTGCAAGAAAATCGCTAATTTCCCCCATCAGAACAGTCAGGGCTAGTTCATGCCACAAAACATCTTCCAGATCTGTTCTGGAGTGTTTAACGCAATTTGAATACAGTTCTGTGCAGGAAAAATGCAGCATGTTCTACTTTTTTGTCTTTTTTTTCTGGAAATGGAACGCACTGAAACTGCAAGCAATGGTGTGAACTATGCCATTGAAAACCATGTAACCTACATTCTATGCATTTTGGATGCAGAAAAAAAGCACTGGTGTGAACTAGCCCTCAATGTTGGGAGGACTTTCTCCTGCGGTGCTATTGTTACTCCAGCCAGGTTGCCAGGAGCTGTCCCTTCCAGGCATACACAATTATTATTGCTAATGGCTATAGCTGCTGGCAGTAATCATTTGCTAAAGATTTGACATGTTGGTTGTACCCAAGTCGGTTTTATGGATTGAATTTGGTACAATCAGCCTGCCCATAGCTGGATCGAATCTTAGCTGATCTCTGCTGAACCAGATGAGATTTGACCAATCTATGGCTGGCTTAAGCTGGGAGCTTTGACAGGGACAGCAGTTAAGATCTGATACTCCCCAAGGCTCAGTTCACACCAATGCGTTTTTTTTTAGTGCTTTTTTGTTTTTTTGCAGAAATGCACTACATTCCATTTAACCTAGTTTCCTATGAAACATGTTCACATCCTGAGCTTTTTTGAGCTGCTGCGTTTTTGGAAAGGGTCAGGGACTTTCAAGGGGAAAAAAAAAGAGTTGAACAAAACGTGGCAAAAACGCATGTAGAAAAACGCAAAACAAACTGCAAAAAACACTCAAAGACATCAAAGGCAAAATGCATATATGTGAACAGAGCCTTAAATGTAAGATTCATAATAACTTTTTAAAGCTTGAAGTTTTAAAAATGAAATGGCTTGTTAAAAAAATAAATAAAAAAAATGAAAAGATGTCGTCTTTTTGCTGTTATTAAAAAAAGTCAGAAATAATGATCAGATCTAAGGGGTTTATGTCAAGGATGTTTGACATTCACCAAACATTTACAGCAGGTGAATCTTCCTGGTGCACCTGTTTTTAAATGCTACTGATGGATTCACCACTAATTTAATGTTTGAAGTCACATTCCGCTCTCTTAAATATGCCTCTAATTTTTTTTTACTTTTTTTTTTTTCTCTTTTTGTGTTTTTAAATATTTTTCTTTTTTAGCACTGAAATGTCACTGTGAACACTGTTCAAAAGATAATCAGACCTGTGTTACTAATGGAATGTGCTTGGCATCGGTGATATTACAAGATGGTAAAGAAACGCACAACAGCATGTGTATTAATGAAGTGGACCTTATTCCACGGGACAGACCATTCATGTGTGCACCCTCTTCAAATAATGGCATTTACACTATCCCTTATTGCTGCGTTGAGGATTTTTGCAACAAGAAAATTCGGCCTTCAGCTGGTAATTAGTGTTTTCTTCTTCCTTATTTATTTTTCTTTCTTAGAAGCCTTGTCTCTTTCATTTTCAGGTACCTAAGCTGCATTTAAAATGTGCATTTCGTAAACCTTTTATTAGGAGAATCAGCCGGATATTCAGAGATGTAGGGTTATGCAGCCACCAATAGCATTGACACTGGCAAGCAAAGTTCCTGAAACAGCACAGAATAACCCCTCCTGCCCAAGCATGCCTTGATTTTTGATAGTGTCTAAGGAGAATGGACATCTTTCTGCTCTGAGATGTAAGCCCTTTTTTCAGGTCCTGCTGTGGCTGCAGAGCTCCACTTTCAAACTAAAAAAATATAGCATATTAAATATTATAAAAAAAGAAACAAAACATATATAATTGCAACACAAACCATATTAATACCGTAATTGAATGTTCTTTTAAAAATTTTTTAATTTTCAATCTGCAGAGCTTTCATTTTCTGTCAATATCAATGCAATATGGCAACCTAGAGGCGTTTATGTACAAAGCTGGTGTTCGGAATGCCTCCAGAAATGTCATTTTCTGCTTGTGTGATTGGCTCGCTGATTTTCCCAGAAGTCTGCACCAAGATACAAGTAACATCTTGGTCATCTTGGTCAGGCTCCCAGTGTACTGTGTGTTAGCAACAGAGCACTTTACAGGCCCAGGGACCTGCTGTACGCATTTGTTTTAAAATATTGGCCCCAGTTCGCTTCATCTATGCCTTTCTCTCTTTGAAGCTCCTTCCTTGCCTCCTTTTGCAGGATCAAGGTGGAAGATATATCCATCAATCTTATAGCACGGAACTGTCCTAGGAGGACAAGGTTCTTGGCTTTGGCTTCCTGGTAGACTTTCAGAGGGCCCTTCCAGATTGTTGATCTTTTGTTCCATGGTCCAGTGTACCTTCCAGCTGCCAGTGACAGGACTCGCCTAAGACATCTTTTACCTAGAAATGACAGTGATTGTCCAGCTCATTGCTGTCCATGTTTAAAGCACCGGTACACACCACCAGTACGCATGATGGCAGACTCTACCCTGTGCACTCTTGCTTGACCAAGCTTGTGTGTATTGATCTGCTGTGTGTATTACTGTGTGTGATCTGGTTTGCTCAGATCCTAATCTCTCCTTGCTGTGATTTTGTACGTTTTCTTTACTCTGCCACCTGAACCAAAGATTCCTTTGCCTGATCAATTTTCGGGTGACCGTAGGGGCATCTAAAAGCTGTAAATTATAAGCCATCCTCATCTGGCTCTAAATCGCAAAAGGTGCAAATCATCATTTTATTATTGCACAGTGACTCCCACCTCACAAATAGACCGTGGAATGGGCTCAAATCTCACTGCAAAGAATCGCATGTGATTTGAACCGGAATGCAGTGTGATTGCAGTCTAAATCGCATTGGGTTTCCCCCACTGCTCCTGTGTGATCCCAGTATAGAAAGACAGAGAAGTGCCATATAAGAAGTGCAGCAATAGGCAAACAGTGTATTAATGTTATAACAACTCACATGTTAAAAGTACATGACGTATCTTGCATGTCAAATCCAAACCACGGCAGCTTGTGGTGCTCACAGGGCTGGAGGAGAAATAGAAAGTTCCGGGACCCCAGTGGGTATGGGTGGACATGATGCCAGCTTGGAGGCAGACCTCCTATACATATTCTCCAGCCCTGTGAGCATCGCAAGCGGTTGTGGTTTTCAATTTGACATGCAAGATATATTCTGTACTTTTAACATGTGAGTTGTTATAACATTAATAAACTATTTGCATATTGCTGCACTTCTTAGATGGTGCTTCCGTGTCCTTTCTATACTGGTATCTCACAGGAGCAGTGGGGGAAACTGCATGCGATTTTTGACAGAAATCGCACTGCATTCCTGTTCAAATCACATGTGATACTTTGCAGTTCAATTTGAGCCCTTTCATTTTGTATCAGCTCAAATCGCACCGCAAAGTGGGTATCAGGAGCATTTACATGGGCACAGATACCGGTATCAGTGCAACCCTACCTATAGCCCATGGTCTATGAATACAATGCCTGTGTCCTGTACTCCAAGATATGGAATTTAAAGGTAAAGCTGGCCGTAGATGTAGAAAATTGAAAATCGCTCGATTCCTCCATTAACACTGACTGAAATCCCTCCCGTGGAGCCATTCTATTCTCGGAGCAGGAGGAGACGTCCCTGCCAGGAGAACAGTGATTACTGCTAGTGGCTATTATAGCCACTAGCAATAATCACATGTAAAATCCAACAGGCTGGTTGTATCCAAGTTGATCAGTCGATCAACTTGGGTAAATTCAGCCTTCCCATACATGGTTTGAATCATCTATGAATGTCTTAAGTTGAAATTCCTCTCTTTTGGCTTGCCTTAAAAAAACACTCTTGCAGTTTAAGGGAGAGTGGTCCCACCCCCTCTGCTCTTGTTCACACCTCCTGTTTTGCTACAAAAGACATGCTGGGAGTGGGGGGGTGTCTATCCTGGGCTGTTTCAACAGCTCTACTTGGCTGCCAGTATCCAATCTAGTAGAAATAGCTGCATAAACCTGTGTTCCTTAATGAACCCCAAGAAAAGGATTTTACAGCAAGTCAAAAATCCTTTTTTATAATGTATTACAGAGCTGCATGAACTTTTGCTGTTTTAAATCTACCCTAAAAGCTTAGTCCCTTCTCATAATATTTGCCCTCACACTGTTGTTAAAGCGGAGTTCCACTCACTCTGGTAAAAAAAAAAAAAAAAGTCAGCTACAAAAACTGTAGCTGCTGACTTTTTAAAAAAAAAAAAAAAAAAAAAAACAGCCACTCATCTGTCCCACGATCCCGCGGTGCCCCCGCCGCAGCCGGTTTCACCGGCCATCCTGTATTCCAGGTGCCGGCATCTTTGGTGTGGTCACCCGGCTGTGACAGCTTGCAGCTTCACAGCTGGGTGCCCACTGCGCATGTGCGAGTAGCGCTGCGCTTCCTGAATGGCCCTGTCACGTGTCCCACAAGACTACGGGGAGGGAGGCTAGAAGGATAACTTCCACTTCCGATTGCCTAGGCGATCGCTACGGAAGTGGGAGCGGGTACCTGTCAATTTCAGGTACCCGCTCTCGAAAGGTGCCAATCCTTAATGGGGAACAAGGGACCAATCTTTAAAGCAAAATTTTCCCTTTTGGGTGGAACTCCGCTTTAAACTCTCAAATGCCTGAGTTGCTGCAGCCCACTGACATTTTGCAACTTGAGAGTTGAGTAACAAAGTAGAGTGGGGGAAATTTTGTACTTGAAGAGTTAATAGCTTTGTCTCGGTTTGGCCATTAGTGCTGCCCAGTCTAGAACCCAAGAGGCTTGAATTTGAAGATTTACACTGGTATTCCTGTTTTTTTAACTCTTGTTGCTTGAGTATTTTGTAGGCAAGTTTGAATTTTTAGGTTGAATATGAAGTATAAATGTAAACTACAAAGGATTTGATTGCTTAACGCCCCTGGCGGTATTCCCGAGTGTAGCTCGGGGTTAACTTTCAGTACCAAAAGCGGTAACCCCGAGCTACACTCGGGTTACCCTGCAGCGTTGTTCAGGGATTCTCTCTTGCACTTACCTTGTCCTGCGCTTCCGCGATATCCCCCCTGCAGCGTACCCAGCCATCTCTGGTCGATGCCGGGTTCCGTTCCCTGTGAGCATCGGGACGTACGGGGGACGGAACCGGCGGGAAATTCTGAAATTTTAAAAGTGACATTCATTCAATACACTAAGTTCTCATAGTATAACCATTACTGTATCAAACCATTTCACATACATATTGTCCCTAGTGCTTTGTCCTGTTCCCTGCCCGCATTTTTACTGTTTTTTTTCAGCCTGGAAACTGAGAAACGTCTATGGCATCCAAAAAGCGCCCCTTTTAGGTCCAAAAGCGATTTTAGACCAGCTAGAGAACAGCGATAGTAAATTAGAACCACTTGCAGAATTGAGTGATAATGATTTTTGGGGAAATTCATCATCAGACACTGAAAACGATTTTGCGACTAAGCTCCATGATGTGCGAACTTGGCGCTTTATTTCAAATTTCAGTTTTTTGGTTTGATTACATTATTGAATTAAATTTATTATATTTTTTATTATAATTTATGATTTCGTGTTTCAAATCTTATTATACATGGAAGGTTTACTAGACTCTTGTTCTGACAGATTTCAGTGAGTTATTCCTAAGAATTACAGAGCTACAATAAAAAAACATATTTCCATGCAAAAAAAGTACCGCTTTGAGCACAGAAGTACTGTCATAATCAGACCGCTAGGGAGGTTAAAGTATAGCTAAAGGCAAATTTTTTTTTTTTTCTAGATATAATGGAGAGATTAGAACATCTATCAGGTTTTATTGCTGTATGTGTCCCTTTTTAAGGAGATTCATTCTATTTGTCGCATATTATGAGTTGTCACCAGAACAAGAATAGAGGGGATATCTTTTAAGGGGGACAGTTGTTCTGGTGATCCTGGGGACAACCAGGTGTTCACTTTGTCTTGGCTTGAGACAGGATGTGAAGGGAAATCTCTACTCACTGGGACACCGAAGACTGGTTATAACTCTCCAGAATGAAAAGGTTTTTTTTCCTTTTTACAAGCTCTACTTTAAAGACTAAAACCATTGTATGCAATTTTTATTCAAATAATGTTTTTTTTTTTTTTTCTTCTAAATCTGTGGTGTGGTATTGTTCTTTTTACAGTTCCATCAACAAAACCTATTACTATTTTTAGTCCGGTGGAGTTGGCAGCGATTATTGCTGGGCCAGTTTGTTTCATCTGCATTTTTACTGATGTTAATTCTATATATTTGCCACAATCGCACGGTTATCCATCATCGTGTTCCAAATGAGGAAGATCCTTCATTGGACAGGCCCTTCATATCAGAGGGAACAACACTTAAAGATTTGATATATGATATGACCACATCGGGGTCTGGTTCAGGTAACTACAAAACATGTCTTTTCAGTACCTTTAGCTTTTTGTGCCAAGAACCCGGGACTGGTAGTATATAGCACAAGTTATATAATGTATTAACCACTTCCTGTCCGTAGGACGGCATATGACATCCTTGGGTTGAAGTGAGCATACCTGTAGGCATCATCTTGGTATCAACATTTATTATTTATTTATTCAGGTACTTATATAGCGCCGTCAATTTACGCAGCGCTTTACATATATATTGTACATTCACATCAGTCCCTAACCCTCAAGGGGCGTACAATCTAAGGTCCCTAACTTACATTCATATACTAGGGCCAATTTAGACAGGATCCAATTAACCTACCAGCATGTATTTGGAGTGTGGGAGGAAACCGGAGTACCCAGAGGAAACCCACGCAGGCACAGGAAGAACATGCAAACTCCAGGCAGGTGGTGCCATGGTTGGAATTCGAACCAACGACCCAAATACTGCCAAGCGGAAGTGCTAACCATTTAGCCACTGTGCCGCCCATTTGCTACCGATGATTCCCTCTTCAGCAGAAGTGATTTGAGTAGCTGAACAGCCCCCCAGGGCTGAGGATTTGGTCCTTTCCGGTTTCGGCTATTTGTTTACCTGGTCGTTAGTGGCCAGGTAAGCAGTCAGTCAGTGCGATCTGTGTCTGATCGGCTACATTGGAGTCTAGAGGAGAGATTTGGGATCTAATAGACCTCAGATCACTGGATAAAGAAGACCTGTCATGGCCCATACTTTCACAAGGAATGTTAAAAAAAAAAAAAAAAATAGTGTAAAACAAAATATTTTTTTTTTTTATTATTTATTTTATTTGAAACTTTAAGTGTCTTATTCCCCCCGTGCTTATGTTCAAACGCAAACACATGCATACGCCCTGCACGCATGTGTAAATAGCGACTGCACCACACTTGTGAGATATTGTTGCGAATGTCCACAAACCCCCCACAACCGCAGGCCATGGTTGTGAGAAATAGGCCCTTATCCTCGTCAACATGGGGACAAGGTGCTTTGGGCGTGGGCTCGCTCGTCCCTCTCCCCCCCCCCTCCCCCGCTTCCTGAGCTGCCATTTGCAGATAAGGGTCTGTAATGGAGTGGGGGTGGTGTGGCCTTGCCATTTTATTTGTAGTTTTTTTTTTTTTTTTTTTTTTTTTTTTTAATTTTGGCGTGGGGTTCCCCTCAAAATCCATACCAGACTCAAAGGGCCTGGCATGGATTGGGGGACCCCATGACGTGTTTGTCACTTTTTTTTTTTTTTTTTTTTTTTTTTTTTACACACTCTTCTGTCAGCTGGGAAACCCAATCACAGCTGATGACTCATCCATTGTTAAGGATGGGGTGGCTGGCTTCCCGACCCTCTCCTTAACAATTACTATACAGGATTTATATAGCACCAACAGTTTGCTCAGCGCTTTACAATATACAAAGGCCCTGCTTCTTAATGCTGAAGCTACTAAACGTAACTTACACACTAGGCTAAACGCTGGTAAAAAATGGTGACATTAGCGTGTGGGTTTTTTTTTTTTTTTTTTGTCCAGTGTTTCTAAAGCAGTTGTTAGCTTCTCTAGTGTGCATGAGACCTAAAAGATAAGCAAAACAATGGGATGTTAATTGGATGCAAAAATAGGGTATAGAATTTAATTGCCAAAAGAAGGGGAATTGGGTCCCAATACTCTCTAGTACCCTATTCTCTAGATTAATATTGAGGGTCTCTGACTTATCTGGATTGACCACGAAGCCTGATATGACTTTGAAGCGACCCAGCAGATCCATGAGATTTGGCGGGGTGGTATGAGGAGAAATAATAAACATAAGTAAATTACATACATACATAGGTGTGTGTGTGTGTATATGTAAACCTACGCTTATGAAAATTGTAGTCAATAAACAACATAAAGTGTAAACATATAGCAGCTGAACACAAAAACATTGATACCAGGCAATAAACAATATATACATAAAGTCCAGTGCTTTAATAAAGTGAAAAAAAACCTGAAAAATGTGTCATAAAAGAATAGTGCATCCAAAGATTCAAATAAAGAAAAAGTCCCCAGAGGCTGTGATGAAACAAAGGAAATCCAAGGACAATTGTTGTCATCAACCACTCATAAGAAAGGCTTACCACAAAGACATGACCCCCTGTTAAGAGTTGTCAGTCACGCTTTGTTATAAACAACCCAGAAAGCCGGACAATCAGATCCTCCTCCAGATCACCAAGAGAGCAAGTAAAGATCTTTGGAAGGACTGTTTTTTTATGACACATTTTTCACTGTTTTTTTTCACTAATTATATGTCACTTTATTAGGCACTGCACTTTATGTATATATAAGTAAATCATTGACAAAGAGCGTACGTGTATGTTGCCTACCCCCACTGTCAATACCTAAACATATTAGGATTGGTTTGGATCGCGATAGCCAGCATTGCTATAGTAAATAGACCCTTGCAAATACCCTTGCCTGGCATCTGAGGCAATGAAAGTGGGGTCTGATTTGTAACTTAAGGTTGTTTTTAAGGTTTAGGTCTGATTTATTTATTTTATTTTTTTATCCAAGGTCTGCCTTTGCTTGTGCAGAGAACTATTGCGAGAACCATAGTTTTGCAAGAGAGCATTGGCAAAGGTCGCTTTGGGGAAGTGTGGCGAGGCAAGTGGAGAGGAGAAGAAGTGGCAGTGAAGATCTTTTCATCAAGAGAGGAACGCTCATGGTTCAGAGAGGCAGAAATATATCAAACTGTGATGCTGCGGCATGAAAATATTTTGGGCTTTATTGCTGCAGATAACAAAGGTTTTTAAACTTTTATGTATTTTACACTTTGTATTATCTGTGGGTATTGTTGACGATCTGTCTCCTATCAATATCTAAACCAGTAATCTACTTTTTATGTCCTAAAACGTAGAGGGGGAAGGAAAGATCCTTGAAAGTAAAATGCTTTGTATGCAAAAAAAACCATACATTTACATTGGCAATCTATTTTGTGTTTTGCATGAGCAGTGTCTGTTAAAGGGTTTATGCATGTTTATTTAGTATAGCTGGTGCATACAAAATAGATTTTGAGGTCCTCACAATTGTTAGTAAAGTGATAAAAAAAAAAAAAGCAAAAAAAAAAATTCTCGCTGCGTACACAGTAAATGCATCTTTAGCTGTGTTTTTTTTATTTTACTAGTTGTGTGTGTGTGTGAGTGTGTGTGTGTGTGTTTGTTTTTTTTTTTTTTTTCCCTTTTAAAATCTGTAACACATTTTCAAACACTTGCTCAATATACTTTTGGTTTATAGCACCCTCCTATTCCTTTCTTCCTATCCTTTCTGTATTCCCTTACCTGGCCATTTCTATTTACAATCTTAATTCTGCTTCCATTTTTCTTGAACGTTGGTTTTGTACTAGATCTGTTTTTCTGGTTTCTACTCCCTTATAGTGTTTTGAAACTGCTGTCACTAAAGTACTCAGTACATACCTGATAGCTGCCAAAACGGAATACAAATACTATATGCTCTGTCTGGTCGCTTTAACACACTGAAAACCAAACTAAAGTTACAAAAAAAAAATTTGCTAACAGTTGGAGCTTTTGCTAGGAGGTACTTTGTATGTTAGCACATTTTTGTTACTTGTACACTGACTGCAGTATATGCACAGTGCAGTGTACAGACCTGACCCCCTTCTTGAATGGAAAGGATTGCAAGATGGTAGTATTTACATTGTCAGTTGCTACCTATGATGGACGCCAGAGGCAGATTGTAGCTATTGCCAGGAGTATGTGACAACAGTAGTGCAGTAACCTGTCAGTGTCACCCGTGTGTAACGATGACCCTCTGTCTCACACTGCACAGAGATTTACCTAGTTGCAGGATAATAATAAACAGTAATGCAGGCCATAGACGGGTCGTTTATCGGCTGAATTTTTGTCCGTACGAAAAATCGGCCTATAATCATGCTGTTACTGGGGCCAGCCTGTCGGCCGTTTTTCGTGGAACTCATTAATTTTTATCGGTCATGCTGGAAAATCCAACAATTCAGCCGATAAATGGCCCATGTATGGCTGGCTTAAGTGCCAGTAGACTTCAAGCAATGGATAGGGCTGTCGGTTAACTATGCAGGTAACCTTTTACACACACACACACACACACACTTACACACACACACTTACACACACACACACACACACACACACACACACGTTTTTTTTCATCTAGATTATGCACTGTTCACATCTACTGTGCTGTTGAAATTCCTACCTTCCTCCCCTCTTGCCGCGTCCTCATCCTGCACACAGCCTCTGAAGCCAGGCTCTGCAGGATGGGGGGAGGGGACCCCTGCGGCGAGGATCACAGCTTGTCCGGCAATCTAGGTGGAGGAGCTGTGACCCCCCCCCCGCCAGGAGACCCCAGTGGCAGACCGCCGAGATGTCTCCGCGCACCCCCTGGCGGGCACGGCATGGGCACAAGGCTTTCTCACGTTCTGTGCCCACCGGAGACAAGGCCGCGCGGCCTGAGTGAGGGGGGCGTGCCTCGTTTCCCCCCGGCAACCCGACGCTGGGCTGGCGCAAGACCAGGACGGTCTCTCTCTCTCTCTCCCTCTCTCCCCCTCTCCCTCTCTCCCTCTCTCCCTCTCTCTCCTCTCTCCCTCCTCCCTCTCTCCCTCTCCCTCTCTCTCTCCCTCCTGTGCTGTCCCCCTGGAAGCTGTATCGTTGGGAGGTCCGGGTGGGGACCGGGCCTCCGCAGCCATCCCCGCTGAGCACTCTGCATGAGACTCCCCCAAAGGTCAGAACCATCCCGGGCACATTCTCCGCACAGGCAAGACCCTACCGAGCCCCTGCAAGCCTGCTGTGTACCTACCTTCTGAAGCCCGCTGTGCCCCTATGGGCCGATTGGGCCCCTGGGAAGCTGCCCTGTCTGCCGATCGCTGGGGCCCTGGGAAGCCGTCCTGTCTGCCGATCGCTGGGGCCCTGGGAAGCCGTCCTGTCTGCCGATCGCTGGGGCCCTGGGAAGCCGTCCTGTCTGCCGATCGCTGGGGCCCTGGGAAGCCGTCCTGTCTGCCGATCGCTGGGGCCCTGGGAAGCCACCCTGTCTGCTGACCGCTTTGTCCCTGGAAGCTGCCGCTGCTGAGCGTCCGCAAGTTGCCTACTCCCCCCTGGAAGACGCCTGCTGCTGAGCATCTGCAAGACGCCTATCGTGAATGTCCCTAGAAGCTAGAACTGTCCCTAGTGTGCGCTCAGACCACCCGTGTCATGAACTGCCCCTATTGTGCGCACAGACCACCCGTGTCATGAACTGTCCCTATTGTGCGTGCAGACCAACCTTGTCATGAGCTGCCCCTATTGCGCGCCCCAGACTACCCTTACTTGAACCGCGCCCATGGCGTTCCCGGAGTATATAGCTACCTGGGATGCCCCTGAGTGCTTGAGCCATCGCTACCTGCTTAGTCCCTGTGAGCCCGTTGTCCCTAGAAAGCTGGGTGGGAGCTGTGCTGAGATCAGCCCCCAAAGTCAAGGTCCTGCTGAGTCCCCGTGAGCCTAATGTTGTCCCTAGTACACTGTGTGGGAGCTGTGTTGAGACCAGACTCCACAGCCAAAGTCCCGTTGAGTCCCCGTGAGCCGATGTTGTCCCTAGAAAGCTGTGTGGGGGTTGTGCTGAGGTCAGACCCCCTCGCCGTGAGCCTGCTTACCGTGGGTGTCCTTACAAGCCGCATATCGCGGAGTGTGCCATGAGCTGTCCTGATTGAGTGTCTTTCATCGTTCAATAAAACTTTGTGTGTTCCCCATCTTCTTTGTGTGTTCTGTCCTACCTACGCTTCCGTCACAATAACGAAAGACAAAACTGTGGGTTGTAATATAGATGAAATCTTCTAATGTGGATACTAGTCCTGGTGACCCTAGTGGCATGCAGGGATTTCCTCTCAATTCCTCTTTTAGATATGGAACAGGAAGTGAAGGGAAGTCTCCCCAATGAGACACAAATGGCAAAAAAAAAAACATGACATGGGCTATAAACCTCCCTATTCTCCCCCCCCCCCCCCCCCCCCCCAAAAAAAAAAAACTATAAAAAAACCCTTGCCTTTAGTTCTACTTTGGTAAATGTCTATAATACAGGCTGTCATGCCAGATATGAATATTTCGGAGATTTACAATAGAGTGGTAAAGAAGGCTTTTTGGTGTGTGTTTTAAGTTTTTGTTTAGTGCAATAGAGATAAGCTGAGCAAATTTAAAATATTGTATAAAAAAAGTCTTGGATCACACTAAGGCAACTTATGTGACTTGAGTCCTGCAGAATCACATTGTTTTCCATGGTACCCGTTCTGATCAATGTGACTCAGCATGATTTTGGAAAAGGTTCCTGCACTATTTTGGTGCGATTTTACAATCTGACTTCGCCCCACAGAATGTACAAAGTCGCACTGTAAATAGCATTAAAGTTGCATTGCAGTAGCAATGCAATGCAGAAGAAAAGGGGAAAAAAAAACAGCGTAGAAAGAATAAAACAGAAAAAAGGCCTGTAGATCCTCGGAGATCCATTCAATGTAGTTTAAAGTATAACTAAAGGTAAAACGTCTTCCTTCTTTTTTCTTTTTTCTCAATATCTTCATAGCAACTATCTGGATTTGCATTTCCACTTTGGTGCTGTACCCAGGCCCCACTGAACCAAAGATTTTGGGACCTGCCTTGAATATGTACTTTGGATACTGGGCTCTGCCATTTGAGTTTTCCAGGTCTTTGGGTACTCTGTTATCCACAAAATCTTTGCAGGTCCAGACCTGTGGTACAGCCTTTGCTGTGATCCAGTATCTGAATACTCTTCAGTGTGTATTTTATCTGGGCTAAACAGCGGGAGCTACTATTCAGTGTAGTTAAATACCACCATTAATCCCCCATTGTGTTGGTTTCTGCAATAAGAGTTAACAGGATGAGGAAACGCAGACTGCATTATTGGTTTGAATGCCTCATGTGTGTTCATTCCCACCTTGTTCCGACCTTTTTTTTTCCTTTAGTGTGAGCTTCTTTCTGCAAGTGACATGTAGTTTCACATTTGTTCATTTTTGCTGGTCCCTACAGTGACCTGCAGTTGGTTTTGAGTATAGGTTTTTACTTTGTGCTTTTATTTTACATTTTTCCTGTTGACTGACTACATGTTGAGTCTCAAGTACATAGGGAGTAGTGCTGCAGCATTGGGTCTTTATAGCTTCCGGGCTGCTAACAGCTCCAGGGTGACTTGCAGTGCCCCTCAAAAGGGATCGGACACCGATTATCCTGAATTGTTGTCCCCTGCTTAAGTTGGCTCACTCTTTGGAGTCTTCCATAACTCCATCAAGTGTGGTTCCCTTTTCTGCCTTATCCAGGGCAGAATTCTCTGCAGCTATTCTAGATTTCATGCGCCATCTTGCACATATGGTTTGTAATGTTGAATGCAGTGGCTGTAAGCGTGGCTCTACGTCTTCTCTTCCAAAATATTTTTCTGACGTCTTCAGCTGCAGCAGCCTCTTTGCTTTCTGCTGCAGAATTACTGTCTGAGAAAGTCTCCCTAATCCTTTAATGGAGGTGTTTTGTTTCCAAGGAACCACAGTTGGCTGAAATAACTCCCAGGCTTAAAGATACCATATCTAGTTATCAGTGCTGTGCTTATTGCATTTAAAGAATATGTAAACCCAACATTCCATATTCTTGATATGTGCCTGCTCTACCATGTACTTGTATGAAAAAGTATCCTGTTCTTTTGTATTGCTCCCTTTGTGTCAAATCACTGGTGTTTCTGCCAGTCCCTTGGATTTCCTATTACAAAACTGACCACATTAGGCATG